GAAGAGCGTACATCACGGAAGAGGTGTTGATTGGCTCGGCAGAGAGCTCGAGAGGATAGAGGTGTATGGATCGATCCAAATATGGATGGTATCGATACCAACGCTAGTATCGGTACTTTGGTTGTATCCATCAAGTTCAGTATGCAGCCCGCTGAACTGTGTTTATTATTCCTTTGGAAAAAATAAACGTCAAACATGAAAAACGTTCCCACCTTTGTGTGCATTACAGACAGGAAAAACCCAAAAACCTGGTTTGAAAACACATGAACAGCTGAAAGGTGTGTTTCATTGTGTTAGCTAATTTTTGTGGAAAGTAACAATTGCAGGGATATAGTGGTGAGAACTGATCTCAAAAGTCACAGCACACGGCTCTCCTCCAGTCAGCTGCTGAGTAACTTTGGATCCACACCAATATATTTGTAGTGTGACACAGAAATACTGTGGATGTTGAGATGTCCATGTTAAATGACAGAAAGGTATACGTGTTCAAATAGCATCAGCTAACAGCAATGTTCCCTCTAAGCTGTGCGTGTCCGCCATTGCGCACAGAAAAAGATCTACCCTAAATTGAAATCAAAATTAAAACTTTAACAATCCTGTTCTGCAGTGTTAGTCAGTAAGTGACTGGCTGCTCCCGTATGGGATCAGAACGATGCCACCTTATCCCAAAGTCCAGCCAATGATGCGATTCACATTCGTATATATGTCTGTGAAGGTTCTCAGTCATCCAGGTCATCGTAGTCTAAGGAGGTTGGAAAGAAAAGCGTCTGGACTTCTTTAAGTTGCTTGAAGACGTTTCACCTCTCATCCGAGAAGCTTCTTCAGTTCTAAGGTCAAATGGTGGAGAGTCCCAGATTTAAGCTCTGTGGGAGTAACAAAAGGACAAAGGGACCCCCTGATGATCCTCTAACTAATCAAGTCAAGTCAAGTCAACTTTATTGTCAATTCTGCCACATGTACAGGACATACAGAGAATAGAAACTACGTTACTCTCAATCCCTAGATAAAAAAGCAAATGAACATTTAAATATAAGAGTGATTAAAAAATGCAGGTAAAATAATTAAAAAGTAAAAATTTAAATAATATAAATAAATCACATGAGCCAAGGTGTGAAAACTACCTACGAAGCCTCAAAGCGAGACCCCACAAGCAGCTACAAAAAGAAAGTTATAGCTTGCCTTCAAGACCTTGAGAAGGACAAAATCATCGACCACGTAACATATACACTGCCTATTACCAAGAAGGGATGCCCATCACCCTGCATTTATGGACTTCCTAAGCACCTCCCAACAATGAGAAAAATCGAAAGCCGGTCCCACTCAGACCCTAAATCAATGCTGCATGCTATGCATATTCGCACACTCGGAGCCACTTAACAACATTGGCTAAAAACACCTTGCGTACCACTCTATGCACGCCTCTCGAGCGGGAATCTCCACCCCACAAACTTTTAAACCACATCCAAGAACTCCACCGACTTCACCGACAAGGTCCAGAAACTTACCCTGGATCCAGATGAAACCATGGTGTCCTTTGATGTAGTCTCTCTCTTCACTTGCATACCCACCACGGAGGCCGTGGAGACTGTCAGAAAACGACTACAAGAAGACAGCTCCTTGGAGGACAGGACCAACTTCACACCCGATCAGATCTGCACACTGTTAGACCTCTGCCTCACCACTACATACTTTCAAATACAACGAAGGCTTCTACAGACAAAAACATGGCTGTGCCATGGGCTCCCCCGTGTCACCTATTGTAGCCAACCTTTACATGGAGGAAGTGGAAAGGAAGGCTCTTGGCTCTTTCAAAGGAAGAGTACCCAGCCACTGGTACAGATATGTAGGACGACACCTGGGTCAAAATCAAGACACAAGAAGTGGAATCCTTCACTGCGCACATTAACGCTGTGGATAAAAACATCAAGTTCACCAGGGAAGACACAAAGGACGACTGTTTGCCTTTCCTGGACTGCTGCCGTGCACATTGAAGAGAACGGCAACCTCAACATCGAAGTTTACCGGAAGCCCACACACACGGACCAGTACCTCCTCTTTGACTCCCATCACCCTCTGGAACACAAACTTGGAGTAATAGGACCCTACACCACCGGGCAGAACATGTTCCCTCTAAGCCTGAAGGAGAAAAAGAAGGAACACACACATGTAAAGGAAGCACTCAAAACGTGCGGCTATCCTAAATGGGCGTTCTTAAAGTCAGCAAAGAGGCACAGAAAAGAAGACCAGACACCAGCGAGGGAGGATAAGAAGGACAGACGCAACAACATTGTCATCCCCTATGTAGCCGGTGTATCAGAAAAACTCAGGAGAGTTTTCTCCAAGCATGACATCCCGGTGTATTTCAGACCCAGCAACACACTCAGACAAGAAACTGGTTCACCCGAAAGACAAAACGCCAAAACACAGACTTAACAATGTGGTGTATGCTGTACAGTGCAGCGAGGAATGCCCAGACCTCTACATTGGAGAGACCAAACAGCCACTTCACAAGCGCATGGCACAACATCAGAAGAGCCACCTCCACAGGACAAGACTCAGCAGTCCATCTGCATCTAAAGGTCAAAGGTCACTCTTTCGAGGATGCCAATGTTCACATTTTGGACAGAGAGGACAGATGGTTTGAAAGAGGAGTGAAAGAAGCATCTATGTCCACTGTGAGCGACCATCTTTGAACAGAGGCGGGGTTTATGACACCAACTCTCTGCCATCTATAATCCAGTTTTGAGATCCCTTCCCAGACGCCTTAACGCCCACTCACATCCTGGGCCATCTGACCTCAGGAAATCCATGATAAGGTGGGGCCAGGTTTCACAATGAACTCACCCGAAACTCTGGCTGATTGGGACCCACACCCAGTTTCACACCTTGGCTCAGGCGATTAGAGGATCATCAGGGGGTCCTTTTGTCCCTCTGTGGGGGGAAACTCCCACTAGGTTTATATCTGGGACTCTCCACCATTTGACCTTAGAACTGAAGAAGCTTCTCGGATGAGAGGTGAAACGTCTTCAAGCAACTTAAAGAAGTCCATTGGAGATGTGAGCAGGACAGACGGAACAATTGACGGAAAAAGTGTGGACTTTATACCAGTTTTTAAATTGTGTTGATCGGCCACGTTGGGCGATCGTGGCCTTGTAGTTCGTCTTGTAATCGGAAGGTTGCCGGTTCGAGCCCCGGCTTAGGGCCTAGTAAAGCGCTATATAAATACGGCCATTACGTAAAACCAGAGTTATGATAAAATATCTGCAATGTTTGTTTTTCTTCCTGAATACTGTCGTTGTTTATATTTACTGCGAGGAAGAAACGGTAAAAACGGCGTTTTATAAGGAAAACGCTCGAAAGCCTGTGAGCAAAAACAAAAACAAACCTCCCCCCACCTTTCCTATTGGTGGAAAAATGTACCATGTGGACCAATCAAAAAATGATATGGCAACATGGCATTTAGTTTAGGGAGGGGGAAGTTCTAAGAGTGATGGCGTGTTTTGAGATGTGAGAGATTTGTGACGTTCAGTGCAAATCTTATGTAGTCAGTGTGTAGTGAGTGTGTAGTCAATAGTTGTGTTGTTGTGTGTCAGAATAATGAGGCGCCTGCTGAGTGTTACAGGTGTTACAGCTGTGACACATCTGCTGCTGTCAGGCCTGCAGGTATCAGGCTGTTGTTCTCCTTCATCTCATAGTGGACAGAAATTATTTGTGGAGCGGCACAAATAATTTGTGTGGCATCAGATTTGATGCAGAACAGCTGATTGTTCTGTGAATAGTTTGAAATGTTTGTTTAAAAACACCTTGGCTGCATTTTTAGGTAAAAGCTGCAAAACACTTTGTTTGCATAACTCAGTTACTTTTTTGAAGAAGTAACTACATAATTAATTGGCCAACATTGGTCATTATTTACTGTATTTTGCAGACAGAGTTACAGACTCTCTCCCAGACCACAGACTCAGAATACAAGTCAGAGCTTTATTTAAAAAATAAAAAAAAGAAAGTTGTGTTTTCAAAATTGGAGTTGAAGTTATTTTTACTTCCAATAGTGTTAACATGCTGCACAGGTCATGAACAAGGTTTTTGTTATGGTTTCTTTTTATGTTTGCTTATCCTGTATTCTCTTCTACGTTTAGTAATGGAGAGTGCTTATAACCCCGTTTTGATGTTAAACCTTTTTCATTCAACCAGAACAAACATGTCCGTCATACAAAACCAGAGCCAACATGGTAAATAAACGTGCCATTTAACTGCAATAGCATAGACTGTATGAAGAGAACAAAAAGTGATTCATATATCAAAATGACTTTGTTCAGAAGTTTCTGTCTGTTTTGATGTCCCTGAGGTGTCTGATCCTTCAGCCTGGTCTGTGTCCCGCAAAAGCTCCAGAGACCGTCCACAGGAAGCACAAAAAGGAGTGAAGAGGCTGAAGCTAACGCCACAAAACGGGCAAAACATTTTCCAGCTATTTTTAGTGCAGCGAGCACCTTCAGGGTAACAACGAAGCGCAATGAGGAGTTACTTTCTCGACGTTTGTTGACATCCCGCGTTTAGCTGCTGCTTATTCTTCTGCCGCTAATTTAAAGGCACTTTACTGCCACCTGCTGGGCTGGAGTGTGGACCATGACGGTTTTAAGGTCTGGATATTTTCTTAAGAAAATCCCCGTGACATTTAAAAATCTGAACATCATTATCTCACCCATACTCTTTTGTAAAATCTCTTCAAACATTAACTGAACACTACTTCTCTGAAAAGCCCTCGCTTAGCTGACTACAAATCACTTTTCCATACTACAAATATGGAGTAAGCCTAATCGTTGAGTCACTTCCGGTATTTCAGACAATCCCTTTCTGTCAAGAGCCACTTGTTAATTTGTTGCAGACTTGTTAAAATGTTTTCGGAAATGTTATTTTGTTGTTGATGTTTTAAATGTGATTTGCACTTCCCAGCCACCGTAGTATTTTTCCCTGGTTTTACTACCACACTGGGGCACATGTTCACCCTCACATGGAAGAAGTAATCTGATTGGCATGGTGGTATGTAGCATGTAGTTTGAAGCAGGGATTTCGTAGTGCCCCATGTGTAGCGCTGGAATCCAGTCAGGATGTGTTTCATCCATTTCATAGGCTGGTTTGCTGCAATAATGAAAAACAATTAGCAACTCTATAAATAGAACATTTATCTACAAAATCACTCATTAGGATGTTTGTTCTAATTTGCTATGACCTCAGAGCGCATTGAAAATAAAACTAATAGGCTATAAAGAGTAATATGAACTTATTTGGATCTTACCTGAATGAAAATGTCTGTAGCACCAATAGATATCTGGGGATGGTAGCGAACTGGATATCAGCCGTCTCACAGCTGCTATCCAGGCTAGACGCCTTCTTTTGGTAACACCCGATACATGAGCTCCCTCGTGATGCTTCCAGGTGGGGAAAGAGTAAAAAGAGAGCCCGTTTTCCAGCTTATTCCCTTCCCGATCGTCCGATCTAACAACTGACAACACAGCAAGGACGAACCATTACTGATGCTTGCACTCCTCTAGCCCTTTGTTTGGCCTGCTAAAATGGCGCCTCGGTGGTCACGCCCTCTCCAAAGCCCTGGGAGACAGTTGGTGTGGTAAGCCCCGCCCTCTATTCAAAGATGGTCGTTCACAGTGGACATAGGCTGTGTCCCAATCCAGCGACCGCACGCTTCTGCTAAATGGGTCAAACTGGGCAGAAAGTAACAAACACATAACATCCTTATAGAATATGATGTAACACTATAGATCAACTTAGCTCAGAATATATAAAGCATATAAACAGTTACAGCAATATGATGCAACAAACACAGCAGCTACTGATCCAAAATACTCAAAGCTTCATAGAACTGGAACCAACATTTATTTTAGCTCCATTCTGCTGCTGATACAGACTTTAGGTTTCTGAACATTAAACTTGTTGCTGCCTTTCATAGTGTGTAACTTGAAGGCCCTGAGTACTTGATCTCCCACACTGAAAACACTGGGATGATCACATTATTTGAACATTACCTAATAAGACTGATTCAGCACAGACAGTTATGTTAAACTTTCCTAGCAGTCCTTCACAAACAGGGAACAGTCTGTCTATTCTCTCCATCTGTCAGCTGCTGCTGGCTCTTCCTCCTCCTCTTCCTCACACACTGCTGAGTTTGTCCTGGTGGATCATCAGGGCTGCAAAGCCTCACAGATGATGTGCAGCAGTGGGTCCCTCAGTCTGTCCTCACTCTGGACACTTGCAGTCGTCACACATGGAAATCAAATGTGTGATAAGCTGCAGGATTCAAACACAAGTGTAACTTATAAACACATGTTCATACTTTTATTCCACAATCAGAGAGAAAGAAACAGAGAGAGAGTGCAGGACAGACAGACAGGTGACAGTCTCAGGTGTACACACTGCTACACAACAGCACAGAGAAGCAGGATTTAGTGTTTGTGTTATTACGAGTGTAAACAAGAAGAGTTCCCAGATGGTGCAGTGGACACATGTGTGACTGCTGTGATTAAAGCATCTTTCTTTCAGCTTAACGAGTGAACCGTCAGCTCGTTCAAACACACGTTAAAGTCGTTTGGCTCGACACCACCGAACAGAGGCAGCAATATAACACAGCTAACATTAACAGTGCAGTGGATCCTGCTTGTGCCGTGATATTCAGGACTGCAAACCGAGCAGCATCACTGACTTTCAGCCTGTTGTGTTTGTGGATATATGACTGACTTTAATTATCCATAAATCATCACATTCTCTGTAAGATTAAGGTCGACTATTGAACGGCGTATATTTTAAAGTAAAGGCTTTAAAACCAAGTTAGTACAAACATCACTAATGTCACATAACTTTGCCGAAATGTGGCCAACAGTAATGTTTTAATGTTCTTCATTATTAAACATTTGCACATAAATAAGTGACATAATATTCAGTACTTACTTTTGAAAGTTTACTCTTCGGCCGCTCCGCTTCAGGCATCCATCGTTTTTTTCCGAACAAATTATCCACACCCACCACCGCGCTATGAATTGTGGGATATATGGGACCACGAAGTCTACACCGGACCACACTTCAAATTTGGGGACATGAACGGTACATTTGTTGACTGCATTTGGAGTACACTTTGAATTGGGACACCCTTCGTCGCGTCGCTGTGACATAATCGGTCTCCAAATGCGTGCGGTCACTGGATTGGGACACAGCCATAGATGCTTCTTTCACTCCTCGTTCAAACCGTCTGTCTTCCAGTTCAACATGTGGACACTGGCGTCCTCAAAGACTGACCTTTGACCTTTAGATGCAGATGAACAGCTGAGTCCTGTTGAGGTGGCTGTTTGGTGTCTCCAGTGTACAGCTCTGAGCTGTCCTTGCTGCACAGCTACACTACGTTTTTTAGTTTGTGTCTGCATGTGTGGCTGGGTCTGAAGGACACTGGGACGTCGTGGTGGCGAAGACTCCTGAGTCTGCCTTCCACAGGGTGGAGGTACTGCTCTGTGTGTGGGAGCTTCAATGTTAATGTTTCCATTCTCCTCAGTGTGCACAGAACACTCCAGAAAACCACGATCCTTCCACTGAGCTGATGTGTTGGCTGGTAAATGGATGAATAGACTGATACGTTGATGGGTGGATGAATGGTTGAATCGATGGATCCTCTGTGGAGGTCGTCAAGAGCACCAGATTCCTTGGTGTCCAGCTGGTGGAGAACCTCTCCTGGTTAACACCAGCTCCATAACTAAGAAGGCCCAGCAGTGTCTCTACTTCCAGTGGAAGCTGAGGAAAGCCCATCTCCCTCCATCCATTCTCACCACCGTCTACAGAGAGACTATCGAGAGCGTCCTGAGCAGCTGCATCACTGTCTGGATGGTAACGGCACCGTATCGGATCACAATGCTCTACAACTGTTAGTGAGAGCAGCTGAGAGGCTGGAGCCTCTCTTCCCTCCATCAGACACCTGTCACACCTGCTGCATCTGCGGAAAGAGGTACCGGAGCATCCGGGCCCTCACTGCCAGACTGAGGAACAGGTTCTTCCCCCAGAACATCAGACTCCTGAACACACACACACACACACACACACACACACACACACACACACACACACACACACACACACACACACACACACACACACCTTATTACATCAAGTTACCTTTTGCACAACCCACTGTCATTGTTGCACTTTTCTTTTGCACTGTTTTTTGTTTTGTTTGTTGCAGTTTTTGCACACTTTGCACGTTATGTAGTGCTGTGTTGATTGTGTGTCACATGGAGCATCGTGGTCGTGGAACGAATCAATAGACTGATACGTTGATGGGTGGATGAACAGGTAACTGGATGGAGCCGCCCTCTCGCTCCGTGTACCCGCCTCCACAGCGCCACTCATCGGCCTGCATAAACTTTTTTCCCGCTGTTGTTACTTCCTGTTTAGTCCGGAGCGGAGCCTCGACTGTCCCCCGGGTCTCCGCCGGTGTCCTCTGCCTCTTTGTGTCCGTGTGTGGCCGCTCGGTCTCGGACTCACAGCTCACCTCCAGCCTCCGTCGACCCTCCGGGAGGACGCGGGTTCGGTGTCCGGGACTGCGGGTAGGAGCCGGGCTGAGCTCTCCCGGGGAGCCGGTGTCCGCCTGGTTCTTCCGCCGTGCGGTCCCGATGGATTTTACTTAAATGTGTCCCCGTGAAGCCGCAACAGTGCGCCGTGCTAATGCGCTGATTAGCCGGCTCTGCTAACCAGGTCAGTTCAACGCGCTGACCTTAAAGTGCTGTTTTCACTCACTTCGAGCTAAAGCTGCTAACTTCCAGCGCTGCTAGCCGCCACTGTAACTCCTCCGAGTCCCTAAAACTGCGCTTTAAACTGGGCTTTGAGAGTCTCCCGGGTGTCGGAGCTCTTTCGGGTCTCTGACTTAATTGGACTTGTTGTTTATATGAAGTTTAACTCCGGTTTAACAAGTAGGGCTGTTAAACACTGCCTGTCAGTGTTTGCTAAGTTTGATTAAATGTTGTTTAAATGGACTAAGAGCCAAAGTTTACTCGTGAAACAGTTCCTTAAATCTAAGAGAAGCAGGCAGAAGGTCAGCCCACGCTCAGCGAAGCCTTTATTCGGCTTTATTTTCAGTCTTCAGCGGACTGACTATTAAATTCAATGTTGTGTGATTGAGGTTTTGAATGGGGTGGGCCGGGGCTGACCAGTAAAGCTGGGTTTAGATGTGGATTAAAAGTTTTCATTTGGCCCTAAACTGTTTATAAAATGTTAAAATGATTTAAAAATACAAACTTCAGGGTTTATCGAGGATCCAGGGACACACAGGATGAGTTTTCACCGGGGGCTTAATGTCCTGTTAGGCGTAAAATTAGACGTTTCTTTAACGAGGTTTTGAATGGAGTTTTGACGCTAAGCCTCTTGTTGTGTTAAAGTTACTTATTTGGGCTAAACTGGGCTACGCATCAAGTCCTGAGTTCAACTGGGTTAGTACCTGAGTTGTGTACTGGGTTCACTGGTGGGTGTCAGTTTACTGTGGTTAGGATTAGACTCTGGATTGGATCATGTGCTTTTTAATTGGACTAAAACTGTGAGTTAAAGGTAGTTTTGGGGAAACTGTGTTAAACTGGGGTGCTGTTGGCATCGGTACTGGGTGTTGAGCGTTGAGGCGGGCCTGGTGGGTTTCTGCTCTGTGTTCCCGACCCTCACAGGTGTGTTCTTGTTCGTGTCTCATGCAGTTGGTTCCGGTCTAAGCAGGTTTGGTCCCAGCTTTAGCTCACCATGGCAGAGCTCCACCAGGCGCCCACCTCGCTGTGCTGCTGCCGTAAATCCCTGCCGGACTCCGGGGGCCGGTGCTCCGGGGACTTGGCCCGGCCCTCTGTGGGCCTGGGTCTGGAATCCCAACGTTGCCCCCTGGTGGATGTGGCGTCCGCATCGAACTTCAGGAGCTTCCAGCTGTGTCACTTCCACCTGGACCTGCGGCTGAACTTTGCAGTGAAGGAGATGAGCGGCTGGCTGGTTCTGGACCTGGTTCCGGTGCAGCCGGGGGTCTGTTCCCTGATCCTGGACTCCCACCCTTCTTTATTGATCCACTCCATAGACTGTAAGGTGCCGGGGGCCGGGCAGCAGGAGCCCGTGTCCCTCACGTACCGCGTGGACCCGTTCACCGACTACGGCTCGTCGCTCAGCATCAGCCTGCCGACCGCGGCGGTGAAACCAGGCCGGGCGGTCCAGATCACGGTCCGCTACACCACCACGGACGGGCCGGCGGTAAGGAGACGACACGGCGTCTGTACAGCGTGAGCATGCTGAAGGTGACCACAGCGTGACCCGTGTGTGTGTGTGTGTGTGTCTGCAGATCTGGTGGCTGGACTCGGAGCTCACCTGCGGTCAGGTTCGTCCTCTGGTCTTCACTCAGGGTCACTCAGTGTGTAACCGCTCCTTCTTCCCCTGCTTCGACACGCCAGCCGTCAAGAGCACGTACACCGCCACGGTCCGGGTGAGTCACACGGAGCCCAGGTAACATCAGAGCGGTGACAGAAGGCGTTTCCTTAAACACCTGCACTCACGCCGTTTCTGCTCGTCCTCCTCGGCAGGTCCCGGATGGCGTGACGGTCCTCATGAGTGCGTCTCGGAGTTCATACTCCAAACAGGACCGCGTCTTCCAG